CTAACGGTTTTAGACAATCCTTTCTCGATAGCGGCCGTTCTGTCTTTTTTCCATCATTTTTAGTAAATTTAGTCGTGTCTTGTAACAAAAGTTCCATTTTGTTCACATAATCGGTTCGGTCAAAAATGACAATCCCTGAGCGTTTATCTGGTCTCAGAAGAATAATATCTTTGTTTCTCTGAAGTTTGATCAAGCTTTCAAAATGCTCCTTAGACAGCAGTCTTCTACGCTCAGTCGGATGAGTTAGGTATTGAAAACTTGTGGTGACCAGCTGTGTTTTCAACTTTTCTAGATTGGTATCTGATGCGGCCAATAGATCTGAAAGTTGACTGTAAAGATTTTCAAATTGTAGCTCTAAATCCAATTGTCTAATGTTTCCATTGGGACAGCAAAAATTGGGTCCTAACGATAGAACTTCAATGACTACCTTATCCAAACGCAAAGAAGAAAGGTTATTCACATACTGTTCTGGATCTCTAGGAAATTGTCCGTCCCGGATTTTATTGGTGGCCAGCCGGCAAAGTTTTCTTTCATTCTCTTGGTGTTGTTTTGACTCGATCTGCTGTACGTAAGCGAGGAAATTGGACGCTTCGTCTCCTTGCAGATTATGTAGTGATGCTGCAGCAGCTACACATCTGTTTTCCAAATTGCGTGTGCGGTTCATCCACGTGTCATTTTCATTCAGCGCATGGCGACGTAACGACCGCCTAGACAGCTCAATATGATTCCGACGAAGGACCGACGCGTAATGTTTAGGATAGTCTGATTTAGCAATGCAAGATTCCAGGAAACGAACGGTAGAGTTCGCCTTCGCCAACTGCGTACGGAACTTGACATTTACACTTCCAAACCAGTTCTCTCATTGCAGATGAAGGACAAGCTACTGGTGGAAAAGACCTCATTTTGCATTTACCAATTCGTGTGTTCCTGTGGAACCACTTACATTGGTCGTACCACCCGCCGCCTGGCTGAACGCATTCGAGAACACCATCCCAGCTGGCTTAGTCGTGGATTGAAGAAACCCGGCGGGACAGCGATCACGGCTCATTTGGTCGAAACTGAGCATCGTGTCAGAATGAGTGAAGCGGTCATTGCCCATCTACACGATCACCGGGGTGAGATCGAAGCAGGTCAAGCACCGCGTACTGTCAACAGCCGAAGCGATCGCGATTCGGTTGAACAACCCCTCCTTGTGCGTTCAAAAAAGTCGGTCAGAGCCCTGGATTTACCGTGGCCAGCCATAAATGCTAGAATGACATAAAGCCTGTTATCAAATGAGTGTCAAATGCATTTGATTCATTCGACAGTACTAATGACAGTTGCAGAATGATTCGAACTCACATACACCCCTGACTGTACTATCCCATTTATCCACAGACACACATACATACACACACGCATGCAAACACGACATTACTTACGCGTATTCTTTTTCCTTGAACTATATGATTTTGTAACCTATAAAAGAGTGCTGTATTTGGCTATTAAATGAGGCACCGAAAACGAGCTTGTTTGCCAAATTGACTTCTCTCTATTTGAATTTGCCGAATGAACCTCCGGTAAATTGTGTGTCGAAAGACAGAAACTCTACTTTGGATAGCTCTATATTCGCATTTATCCGGCCTGGTGTGGACGACGTCTATCAAGCTCACCGTACCCTACTGTCCTGGGAACAACTGGCTCACTCGCCTCCCTAGCGTCCCATACTGGATGGTTTTCAACAAACTGCATCACTCGATAATTTCCGTCCTCACTTACGGTAGAAGGGATGAACAACTTATTCTCCATTTTTTCTGCGAGACTTGCAGTCTCCAATTCTTGTCGTACTGCTGGCAGTTCGCTTCTGTCCTTCTTGGAGTTCTTTCAAGTCGAATCAAGTCAGTAGTAGCTTTATGCACCCGGATGGGTGTATTTTCAGCAATTACACCATATTTGTGGATTCAANACACAATGAAAGCAGTAGATATTGTGTTTCTCAATAAAGCAAGCAATTGCGCAATTCTGTGGAAATTGTGTCCTTGTCTATAAGTAGACGTGCTAGATATGGCAGAACAGAATTGCGATAAGCACAGGTATGTGCAAATAAAAGTTAAAATCTGGAGCGTGTGGATGATGTAGATACAGCTGTTGAAAATTCATTGTGTAATGGGTGGTGAGCGTCTGAGAGTACTTTGGCGGCGGAATTTTCACATGCTTGTAGGTGTCTGTCAATGATGGAATTGGCCAGTTTATCCCTGACAATGCCACTACATTTAGAGATGTGTTTTAGAGATCTCGCCAG